CAGAGGGGTCCGCTGGGGGAATAGAGACCCTCATATAGCCGCGCTCCTCTCACTTTGGGTGTAGTATTGCTGACTGACTGAGGACAATTGCAAATTAACAAAGGTGTCAGTGTGGGGACATGAAAAAACAGGTGCCAGAGATCAGCTTCAAACGCCCAGACAAGCTTGTATAATTGATCATATTTATTTAAAGGCTCCGCGACTGAGCTGACATGGGCCTATTGTTGCGGGACGGGATCTTCCTGGCAACACAAGTCTCAATAACGCTCCTAGTCTCTTTGCGTATAGGTGCTGAGGCATTGTAAGGCATAACATTTATCAGCTTTAACTATAGCGCTTACATATACGATTATTTATGATTATATTCAAATGGAAGATTATTAGTAGTTTCCAATGCATTTTACAAACAAGCTCTTTGAATAATACCAAAAATTATACCAAAATGCTTTCCATATTATTTTTTCCCCCCATTCAATAGAACTACTGCAGGCTAACAGGACCAGACCAACAGACAGGGCAACAGTAAAGTTTAGTTTTTATATTTAAAATAAGATTGGCAGAGTTGTGTTTGTCTGTCTGTGGCTTAATCCTCATGTGTAGTTTACAGATGTGAGACTGAAGTGTAGCCTGATTTAAATCTGCATTTTGACTTTAAACTGTGACAGCGTGCACCTCTTTAAAGCCAACAGTGTTTGGGGATTCTATGCGAAAACGTACACAAAACATATATAATCGGGTGTCATTTAAATAAAGACATCAGATACTCTAATACCTGTAGTAACAATACCCCAGGTTTAATAGTATTCCGAATATTTAGCTTTTTAACCAGTACTTGGAATTTCCTTTTCTATTTCATTTTAAATCCACTAGAATGTCATTGGTTCAAATTTCATTATTATTATGGAAATGAATGAAAAACAGCATCTTGGCTGATTCTGCCATTATTAAATAAATGTTTATTCATATTTGCTGTCATTGGAATAAGTAAATAATGTTTTTATCATTCTAATAATGCAGCTGGGTCAATATGAGATAAGATGAGAGAACCACAGTGGGGAAATTTCAATGTTGTAGCGCATCACACACAAAATATACAATATAAGTAGCTGCTATTTTTCTTAGCTATACTGTGTTTCAAGTTCAACATATATCTGCAGGATTATATATATAATAAATAAGCCTGCAGTATCCTCTGTATTTTTGTAATGCCATATATTGTTTTGGTTATATGTATATGTTTTTCATGTGTTTTGGCTTCCAAGTGCACATTCGCCATTGCCTTTGGGATTTTATGGACACATCGAGGGCTTTAAAATATTCATAAAATTATAATGTTATACAATGCGTCACCAGAATGATACTATAGTGGGTAATTAGTCTTTCAAAGTGACTTGCAGCAGTAGCAGTCCATTGCACCATTGCAGGCAACACAACCAGGCCAGACTTTCTTCTTACTCTGGTAAGAACTCCCAGAGCAGTCAATTCGACGGCTTTTAGTTTTGGAAGTCTAATTATTCTGCTTATCCATATGTTTGGTCTTCATAACTTTGTGACTTTTTCTGTTTCTATACCTATGAAGTTTATTTCTTTGCCCTTCATTTTTTTAACGTGAGCAGATAGTTACCCTAGTTACCATAGCAACACACTGTTTACTTGCTAGCAGTTAGCATTAGGTAGAATTTAAACTGTTTCTGCTATATTTCAAGTTATATTCACCAGTCTTAGCTTTTAGTAAAAGTGAGTTAAGGTAAAACAGAACAAAAAATGATGGTGGGAGATTGAACTTTTTGGTGGGAATATCTCAGAATTCTATTGGTTTGAATGGCAGCAGTCAAAATGACGGCTCGGGGAGTTCTAGCCGTTTCATAATTCTGGGAGTCCTGGTGTTAAAACCATTTGGATCCGAGCTCAACATGTCGGCTGAGTCTTGGCCCATGACGAAGAATGTTAAACGTGCGAGACAGCCCCAAATCCCGCTCATCTGCTCTCCAGAAGGACCCCAGCCCTGGTCTCTAAAGTGTGAACAAACCAGTCCCAGTTCACAGGTAGCCAGGGACCCGACCGCTCATGGGGACCACCGCGGCATTCTGGGATAATCCTGCCGTGCTTCTCATTTCCTGCTCTAGTTTGTACAGTGAAGACCCACAAGTACGAGTTGATGCAGGATGTTAGTTCTATGGCAAAAGTCAAAACAATGAGATAAACCAAAAAACAAGCTCATAAATGTCCTGGCCCGAGTCCTTCTCCTCCGACTCTCACCTCCAGCTCATGCACTTACTGCATTTATAAGCCAATAAACTCATATCTCGCCAAACAAGTTCTCGTTAAAACGCTCGGGCTTTTATTGTGATTCACTGAACCACAAAATACAGCTTTTTCCCTCCCCATAACAATAAAGTGCTCCTGGCTTTTGAAAATATACAGATCCATTTCAACAATTTCTAAAATCTTGGCATTAATTGTGGCGTATGCGTTAAAATGTGTTTTTTTTATGTTTGGGAGTAAAAACCGGGTATGTGCAAACACAGATTTTGGGGTTGTATGTATAAATGTGAGTGGTGGTGATTGGGGAAGCTGTGTTTCCATTATTCAGCACCAAGTTTGGAAGTAAATAACAAAAAGGCCTTTTAAAAGCAGCTGTAGGGGTTTGATTAGAGAATATTTATTTTGCCCCACAAAGGGTAAATGTCAGTATCACACATTATGTAACAGTATAGGAAACTAGATTATCTGTGAAAACGTAAGTCTGTGAATCGTAAATAAGCATACACGAAAAAAACACATATTAACGGGTTGGGAAGAAAGTGAAAAACGCTGCAAAAACATAAAAATCTCAAAAACGGTTAAAGATGGAGTTTTATGAATACATTTTTATTTTACAAAAAGAGTATTTTTTAATGTTTTATAATTTTGTGAACGAACCAGACCACAACATTCAGTCTTCGTCTTTATAGAAAACATTTTATCTGAGTGTGTAGTGGTACTTTTTGGTACTTTCCTTTTCTCTTATAAATCAGATTTAAAGACGGAACAGAGGCTAAAAATACATGAATGTGAAAACTAGTGATAGATCTAGTCAAATGTATCGGTTTTTTTTTGTAGTATCAAAGTTAGGTGCTCCAGCTTTAACCCTTACATTACTTCAATTACATTACTAATACACCAAGGCACAAATGTGTTGGAAAATGTCATGTACAAGTGCTATGTTAACCTGAGAAATATGTAAAAACAATGCAAAAAAAGTAATAAAGTACTATGTTTTATAATACCCTGTTTAAAAGTACCACAGTGATGACACGTATTGATCTGTTGAAATGTGTAAATGGTTTAGTCTGCTTAAAGGAACTACCAACACATACTGCAAATACTTTGAGGGGAAGAAATACCACAAGTAATGTGTGTGTCCGCTTCTGCAGTCACTCTGAGCTTTTAGCAGCGATAGCAAATGCATCACTATAAACAGTTGGATTATAAATGGTTTGTTTTTATTTTGTTAAAGCCGAAGAGCTGAGACTCAACATGCTTAGCTAGAATAAGTGCCTTGGCTCCTGTTGGCTCTGTTTCAACATGTAGTTTTATTTAATTATATGTTATTAGGTAGAACATTACTCCGTTACTTATTTGTTTATCTCTCAATTGTCAAGACATATTTTATCTCCAAACTTCAAATTTTCTGCCTCCACTTAAGTAGTATTTCAAGAAGAAAGAAATGTCCCTCTCCTATTCAGACATGTACTTTATACAGTATATATATGCTTCTATAATTGCATTGGCATAATGGTTGTGCAATGTTTCATCTATATTCAATTCAATGTATTATTGTATAGTCCTAAATCACAACAGTAGTTATCTCAGAGGACTTTACACAACCGTTGAATTAGCCAAAACACAAGAAATAAAAGATAAAATACATAGGTATTGGTCCATAAGAAGCAGATGACAATAAGTGTTGATAAATGACCATAAATGTTGTTAAATTTTGATTATGTATGTATATATATATATATACGTCCAAATATATATTCCTTCATTCAAACATTTGAGTAAAATATATCTAAGCTATTTGGTTTATCTTTTTAGAAGCACTGCTATCCTTCCTCCCCTGTGAACTTCGGACCGTCTAAGTCTCTTTAGCTGCTCCAGGATCGTGCTCGGTCTCTCAGCTGCCCTGGCCCTCTGGCTTCCTCGCCCCCTTCGCCCCAGTCCCACCTCGCTGTAAACATGGCCCCAGGTTGTCAGAGCATTTCCAGCACGGTGCCAGCCTCACATAGCTGCTCCACCAGATCACCGGCTGCAGATACTCTTGATCTCATCCTGCCTCCGTTCAGCTGCTCGGCCTTTTTTTTTTTTTTGAGCGACACATATTAACGACTTAAGCTTTATTGAACGGGGCTCGCTGAGACGCTAATAAGAGAGATGCGTGATTTAGACTGACAGGGATTTATTGGAGGCACGTCAAGATCAAAGAGAGGCGTAATTTATCAAAAAAACTTTTACAGACTGACGGCAGAGAAAAGCAATACTGGGGCTTGTGATCTGCAGCCATACGTCCATGAAGTATTACGAATAAACGATGAGGGTAAATTATTGCTGTGTGCCAGTTTGACAACGCAAATGCAAGTTGGCAGAATATGCATGATTGTACATCTGACTATGGTTTACAGTTCATACAAATCTTCATAAAAGCGTAAAACATTTGAGATATTGGTTTGGTTTTGAAGTTAAAGATGGGTTACCTATTTTTTTCCTCCAATAGTTAAAGTCTAGAGAATAAAAATGGTGGGAACTAATCAAACCAAGACATATTATAAAACATTGTGTATTTTAAATATGCTTAAGAAAGAGCCCTGTGAGTCACTATTTGACACTTTGGGCTGAGAGCTGAGAGTGAGGGCGGTCTCTTTTCACCTTTTTGTATGAAAAAACAGATCTACAGATGTGACAAATGCCCAAAAATATAGACCCAAACTGTTAGGAGAGAAAGGAACGAGTTGTAGCGCATGAAATTACAACCATTTCAAACCATTTATGTGAAAAAAAACATTTATTTTTGCATATTTGACCTTGTAGTGACGCAGTGGCTGTTTGAGTGGTCACCATGGCAACTTTATTTTCCATCACAGTGGTCTCTAGAATGCTATAGGCTCGGTTGATTGGAAGGTTTTCTCCTTACTTTACTATTACATTACTAATTCATTACATTTTCACACTGTGGAAAAAATAATCTTAATTATAATCTTAATCTCACAACACAAGCACAAAACTGTTTAAATGTAAGACTCGTAATAAGTGATAAACTGTGAAAAGGTACTGTGTTCTTATTTTTTCACATAAAGAGTTGCATAAAGCCCCTTCGACCCTAGAAGCTAATCTTAGATAAGTATATATCGGGACAGTTGTCGGCTTAATTGGTCCTTTAATGTGACAGAGACTGTAGCGGCTGCATGTCGTGAGAATGTAGAACAAGCAGCCCCCAGCCCCGCCATCTGAGCCCATCTGATCCACAACAAATTCTCCTGTATCCTGTCGGCTCCCGTCCACTTGTCCGAGTCTAACCCGGGGCACGTCTCTCTGTGCGCACTCCTGCTTCGGCTGCATCGGTCCCGCTGTGAGACATGGACACCTTATAAAAACCAGAGACCTAATTAATCATGCCACTGACTTATAGGGTATGGATTCCCACGCGGCATGTCTCAACACGTCAGGAATGACCAACCAACACTTTCCGGACTGCGGGAATGTGCAGTGGCTCTTGGGTCACTGTCAGAACAATGTCGTCTTCTTGCTCGTAGTTTTTAGCGCAATCTTTTCCACTTTAGATTGTGTAGTTTTATACATTATGGCTCAAAAAGGTGTGAATGTTTTGAGATGCAAATGTGTGTCAGTGGAGATCTGTGACACTTTGGAGAATATCTGCTATTATTTTAAGATTGTATTCATATTTTTTTTTAATGTATATCATATATACTTAAAATATTGTTAAAAAGTTCCTTTTTGGTACAAATGTAGATAATTCTGTAATTCAACATAAAAAATGACATAGAAGCAACATTGTCAAGATTCTATGAGTTGTATATTAGATGATTATGGCTTTCAGTCCATTTTCAATATATTATGTTTTTCTGAGTCAATTATTAACATCAAAACAAATTAGGGCTTGATATATCTCACTATTATTACCGTGGTCTTCTAGTGGTAATGGGACAAAGATCAGGATGATCAGGCCTAAAAATAGTTGTTATATATATTTTTTGACCTTCTTGTGTGGTGTGTCTCAGTCATATAAAATAGAATTTAAAATCAAAGCAAACTAATTTTACTGAAAATGTTTATCAGACATACCCTAATCAATGTGCTGCAGGATTACTCTACTTTAATATGTAAAATAAACAATAAACCCACAATTTGTATATTATCAAAACCAGCGAACACAGGTGTCATTTGAGTGTGTGAATATTTTCTCAGGGCCTCCTCCGAGCCGGTGGTCCCAGTGGGTCGTAGCTTCAGATTTCGGCTGTAGGCTAATTGAGCGAGATGACGAGGGTGCTAAGGATCCTGGCCCTGTCCTCCCCTATGGGTTCGGTTATTGCTCGCCTGCTGACTTTGCTGTCAGTGTCCAACGCTTGTTAGGGCATCATCAATCTCGCCACAGTTAAGAATATTCCCAGGACAGAATGAAGGGGGCAGGTGATGGATAGGCAGACAGATAGGAGCGGCGAAAGGGGCGGAGGGTCATTTGGAGAAACACACTGTCTACTTGAAAAGAAAGCAAACACGACTGAGTCAAGATGAGGCCGCAGCCTGGAACTGTGAGGAGTTAAAGAAGGGAAAACACAGATGACAGAATAGCTTGTTGGGAATGTGCTTCTGGGCTTGGCAAGAGCAGCCCATATGATAAATCACTTGTGGAGATAGAGAAAGATGCATTGTTCCGTTTGTCCACATGCCAGAATTAACACTCGGCTATCAAATCATCAGCAGTTGTGTGAGACAGTAAAGGATTTGTTCGAGCTGTCTACGTACAGGTCCATGTTTCGCTTGTGCCGCGGAAGTATTTAAGCTACAGCAGCAAGAAGAGCCCAAATCAATAAATCAGGCCCTTGTATCCCAGTGGAAATCCTCAAATTTGTCATTTTCACTACGTTCCTCGCAGCCAAACCCCAACGGCTTTGGTTGCAACCTGTTTCTAGCCTCCAGGACAAATGTAGTAGTTTATACAGAGTAAAACTGTAAACTTGATGAATGTGGTCACGCTCACGGCTCAGGGCTCAGCTGTCGGCCATGTTTTTGTCGGTTCAGACATGACTGAGGTTTGCTCCCTTCGTCACACACACTTTAGGCTTTAGAGAGACCACAAGCTGAACTTTAGGTCCGATAAATTTGGGAAATGTTTTTTTTGCAAGATGTCTATAGGTGAAATCCAGCGCTCATTTCAATAGGATGTTTTTCTCGGTGCTGAACCAGAAATACTTTACATACATGATTGATTTTTCCTGCTGCGTCGGGATTGGCTGGAGTCATTGTGTTGCCGTCGTGTTGTTGGCCATTTTCTGCTACTGGTTCCAAACATAATAATGTAAATATTAGAGATATTGAAGGGTTGAAAATCTATATGTTTTGTCTTTTTCCCAATCATTTTCCAGTTTGAATCATGTACAATATCATAATAAGTAATTGCTAATGAATGATACAGTAAGTTAAAAAAAAGGACATTTGATAATAACGTTTGACATACACTCAACTGAACTGTGTTTTTTGCAGGCTGGATGACATGATGTTCCCACCCTCCTCCCTGCCCCCCTGCACCTCTCTGCTCCCCGTCCTCCTGCATCTCCTGGTCCTACAGCCTTCCTCACTGCTCTCTTCTTCTCTTCTTCACGTCCCATTGAGCTGGACGTCTCCCCATAACCCATGTTACCACATCGATGGCCGCCCTCGCCACTGCATCTCCGAGTTCATCAACGCGGCCTACGGGATCTCCGTGGACGCCGTGCGCTCGGGACACGACTACGACAATAACCTCACTTCTCTGACAGACCTGCACAATCCTCACAACCTGACGTGCTGGGTGGCACCTGAGGGCTCCAGGGAGTGGGTGCTGACCCTTCCGCTGGGACGGCGCTTCGAGATCACATACATCAGTTTACAGTTCTGCCAACAAGGAGAACCAGCCGATCCCATCTCCATCTCCATTCACAAATCTATGGACTTTGGGCGGACATGGAGGCCTATGCAACACTACTCCAGTGACTGTCTCAGGGATTTCAACCAGCCGTCCCAGACTTCAGCTCTCACCAGGCACCAGGAGACGGAGCCCCTGTGCTCTGACCCGCGGCCCTTACAGAGACAGCGGGGAGGCATGGTGCTGGCTTTCTCCACGTTGGATGGGCGGCCCTCTTCCCCCGACTTTGACTACAGTCCGACTCTTCAAGACTGGGTCACAGCCACAGACATTAGGATCATCTTTCACAAAGTAACCAGAGAGGAGAAAGTTGGGTTTGAAGTCAGCAAGAGTCCACCTCCTCCACGGTGGCACGATGCAGACGAGAACAGGAGGACTGGAGGAGTTTTGAGATGGAGACCTGGTTTTACTCAGTTGAACACGGAAAACACTTTAGTCTTTTTTGACACCGACGCAAAGTTCTCAGAGATTCAGCAGCGAAACAAAGACAAACACGGAAGAAAGGGTCAGGACAAAGAGGGCCACAATGTTACGAGTAAAGAAAGCAGAGAGACTTTAGATCTGCATGTCCACGCATCGCACAAAAGAAAAGGCAAAAGCCGTGGCCGTAAGAAGGACAGCAGTCTTTGCCCTAATAAGGACTGTGATTGGACAACGGAGGGGCGGGGCAGGGGCAACAAGGGGCGTGAGCTGAGAAAGAGACGCAACAATAACATCACCAGACCCAGCGTCAGGCACCTTCAGATGGTTCCGATCCCAGCCGAGGCCGTGCGAACCCTGGCTCTGTCTGACCTGCAGGTGGGGGGGAGGTGTAAGTGCAATGGCCACGCCTCCAAGTGTCGCCGTGACGACAGCGGGCGGGCGGTGTGTGTTTGTGAGCATCATACGGCAGGACCAGACTGTGACGTGTGCGAGGACTTCCACTACGACCGGCCATGGCACCGCGCCACGCCCACGAACCCCAATCCCTGTGTCTGTGAGTGTTGAAAAATGAGCGCTAAATATTTCTTAAACTGATATTATTTTTAAGGCCAATAAAAATGAAGACAAACAACAAAACTATAAAAATCACAAAAAATCACAGAGCAAGAACAAAAGGGACAAACAAAGCAATACATACATAAGTGAAGCTTTATGCACCTAGCCCTAGATTTTTTTCCAATTATTTTACAAAAGAACTACTGCAGTATTGAGCAATCACAGATAATCAATCAAGTCTAATCTGAAAGTTATTTCCACATGGTTCTCATTCAAAAAGGCTTCTAATTTGAATTTGGAATCGTTTCTTCCTGGTTGTTCCTAATTTTCCGTCATTCTGTAATGCATGGGATGGATTTGTACGGATCTATGGCTGCTTTTACAAACCTCATAGGCTTTTTTATAATGGACGTATCGTTTGTTCCTCTTTCAGCTTGTGAGTGCAACGGCCACAGCAACAAGTGCCGCTTCAGCATGGAGGTGTTCCAGCAGTCGGGCCGAAAGAGTGGAGGAGTCTGCCAGAAGTGTCGCCACCACACGGCCGGACGCCACTGTCAGTACTGTCAGAACGGATACGCCCGCGACCACAGCAAGGCCATCAGCCACCGCCGGGTCTGCCAGCGTAAGATATGAGATTTATTTTTTTTCAATTGAAGATTAACATGTGATTATTTTCTAAAAAATCTGATGGCGTACGTAAAAGACTTGTCAAACGGATCAAAAATCTGATTAGTCGACGCTAAGACAAGTATTGAAACTATAATAATATCAATACGTAGATAATTAGGACAAAAACTGGACAAAATGTGACATCTCATGAGCACGTTTTGATAAAATTGTAAACTATATGACCATAAACTAAGGGAACTTGTGGCTCTATAAAAAAGTATGAAGTAAAAAGAGCATTTATTCAGAATCGCATTGATATTGAGTGTTTCATCCAGTATTGAACTTCGAGTTTGAAACGTAGTATTTGTGGCAAGAACAGAAGTGCAGTCAAAATGGCCATCTTCTTACAGTCACTACTGATACTAAATATTTGATTTCAATTCTACAATGATATATTTAGAATATATCTTCTGTCTCACAAGTATAGCTACAGTAAATGACCATGTAGTAACTAGTCTAAAGTGGTCCAGTTAAGTTGTGTGTGTGGGGGTGGGGTCCTCTAGTTCTAATTGGCACTCACCTCACCTCGCTCTGAATGGGGTATGGTTGAAACACTATACAGTGCCTTTCGAAAGTATTCGGCCCCCTTGAACCTTTCAACATTTCGCCACATTTCAGGCTTCAAACATAAAGATATAAAAATAAAAATGTTTGTCAAGAATCAACAACAAGTGGGATACAATCGTGAAGTGGAACGAAATTTATTGGATAATTTTACCTTTTTTAACAAATAAAAAACTGAAAAGTGGGGCGTGCAATATTATTCGCCCCCTTGCGCTAATACTTTGTAGCGCCACCTTTTGCTGCAATTACAGCTGCAAGTCGCTTGGGGCATGTCTCTATCAGTTTTACACATCGAGAGACTGGAATTCTTGCCCATTCTTCCTTGCAAAACAGCTGGAGCTCAGTGAGGTTGGATGGAGAGCGTTTGTGAACAGCAGTCTTCAGCTCTTTCCACAGATTCTCGATTGGATTCAGGTCTGGACTTTGACTTGGCCATTCTAACACCTGGATACGTCTATTTGTGAACCATTCCATTGTAGATTTGGCTTTATGTTTGGGATCATTGTCCTGTTGGAAGATAAATCTCCGTCCCAGTCTCAGGTCTTTTGCAGACTCCAACAGGTTTTCTTCCAGAATGGTCCTGTATTTGGCTCCATCCATCTTCCCATCAATTTTAGCCATCTTCCCTGTTCCTGCTGAAGAAAAGCAGGCCCAAACCATGATGCTGCCACCACCATGTTTGACAGTGGGGATGGTGTGTTCAGGGTGATGAGCTGTGTTGCTTTTACGCCAAACATATCGTTTTGCATTGTGGCCAAAAAGTTCGATTTTGGTTTCATCTGACCAGAGCACCATCTTCCACATGTTTGGTGTGTCTCCCAGGTGGCTTGTGGCAAACTTAAAAAAAGACTTTTTATGGATATCTTTGAGAAATGTCTTTCTTCTTGCCACTCTTCCATAAAGGCCAGATTTGTGCAGTGCACGACTGATTGTTGTCCTATGGACAGACTCTCCCACGTCAGCTGTAGTTATCTGCAGTTCATCCAGAGTGATCATGGGCCTCTTGGCTGCATCTCTGATCAGTCTTCTCCTTGTTTGAGATGAAAGTTTGGAGGGACGGCCGGGTCTTGGTAGATTTGCAGTGGTCTGATACTCCTTCCATTTCAATATAATTGCTTGCACAGTGCTCCTTGAGATGTTTAAAGCTTGGGAAATCTTTTTGTATCCAAATCCGGCTTTAAACTTCTCCACAACAGTATCTCGGACCTGCCTGGTGTGTTCCTTTGTCTTCATGGTTCTCTCTGCGCTTTAAACAGAACCCTGAGACTATCAAAGAGCAGGTGCATTTATACGGAGACTTGATTACACACAGGTACATTCTATTTATCATCATCAGTCATTTAGGACAACATTGGATCATTCAAAGATCCTCACTGAACTTCTGGAGTGAGTTTGCTGCATTGAAAGTAATTTTAAAAATTAAATGTCATATCTTTATGTTTGAAGCCTGAAATGTGGCGAAATGTTGAAAGGTTCAATACTCAAGGCACTGTAATTAAGGTAATTACAAATTCACACTGAACAGTGAGAAAGAGTAGCTAAAGTAGCAGATTGACAGCTGTAACTTATCTCTTCTCCAGCCAATTTAAAGCTGGAGTATCTAACGTTAAAACCCATCCATCCATCCATCCATTTTCTTCCGCTTCATCCGTTGCCGGGTCGCGGGGGCAGCAGTCTAAGCAGAGACGCCCAGACTTCCCTATCCACACACACTTCCTCCAGCTCGTCCGGGGGGACCCCAAGGCGTTCCCAGGCCAGCTGAGAGACATAGTCCCTCCAGCGTGTCCTGGGTCTTCCGCGGGGCCCGGAACATCTCCCCAGGGAGGCGTCCAGGAGGCATCCGGAACAGATGCCCGAGCCACCTCAACTGGTTCCTCTCGACGTGGAGAAGCAGCGGTTCTACTCCGAGCTCCTCCCGTGTGACTGAGCTCCTCACCCTATCTCTAAGGGAGCGCCCAGCCACTCTGCGGAGGAAGCTCATTTCGACCGCTTGTATCCGCGATCTCGTTCTTTCGGTCATTACTAACGTTAAAACACACACATTAAAATGCTTCTAACTAGTATTTTGGTCTCTATCACATCGTTAGATCAACTTTTTCAGACCTCACTCAGCCCAAAGCATCAAATAGTGACTCACAATGCAAAAGATTACATGTTTTCAGACAGCATGTTGTGTCTGATTTGTTCATGAGACTCTTTCTGTTGGGACAAAGAACATGTATTATTAATGAAACTAAACTAAATATTATTAGCTTTAACATCAATCAACCCTCAAGACCAGTCAAAGATATTCATGCTGGGGAAGTAGTCTGCTTTATTGCTCCTTTAATTTCACAAAGACTGAAGCGAAGTAACAGAATTGTATTACGGATGAAAATATCAGTAATACAAAAACATATAAAACATCAGAAAAAGATAAATCCCCATGGTTTGATGATATGAATGATAAGATAAGATACTGCTTCACACCACATACATTTGCAAAAACCACAGTAGTCATTAATAAGACCAAAAGAGACACAGTCAAGAGCCCCATCAGAGACCTCTAGGACCATAGAAAACCTGCTAATAACAGGACATCAGTATCTATTTTACTCACCTGGAAAGGGCTAATGCAAAGGACACATCTCGACTCTAAATTTGTGAGAACCTTAGTGGAACCTTACACTTGCCTGAAAGCGTCCGGCACTGGGAGCAGACAGCTATTAATGCATGGAACACGGTCTGTGCACAGAGAGGACACATCCCCTGCTGGGCCGACACCTGTACCCCATCATTACCTCCCTTTGGCGTCTTCCGTGACCTTTGACGTTTGTCCTAAGTGACTGTGACACCGAGGCATGCTGGGAGTCTGGGAGCCGCACCGAGGGCCTAATATATCCTCGCTTAACAGGCCTCCACTGACACATGCAGGGACGAGACAGAGTGAAGCCAAATACGGGATTTTTGATAGATTTTATAGACTTTTTATGCCTGAATCCAAACCATATTGCCCCATGCTTTGATTGTGGAGGCTGTGTTCTGCACGGCGGCCCTTTCAGAGGCAGTAGATCATGCGTGCTGTCGGCTTGTTTGGACTGGAGCTGGACATTTGTTTAAAGTTTGAAGGAGTGTGAACAGAGCTGCTGAGGAGGCCCTTCCTCTCGATCTGTCTTGTTTCATTGCTCGCTGTGGTAGTTGTGATAAACCAAAAGGCTTGTCTGCACAAACTTAGAGATCGTTAAAAATCTGTGATATGTAGACTTTCTCTTTGGATGTTTTGAAAATGGAACGTTCAAATTTGTAGGTATTTCTAAACTGGGTCAAACTTTAAATAGATTTCTGCGTACTAGATAAGAAGTCCAGTTACAGCTGCTAAACGTTTTTAACAGCATTTTAGATTTTTATTTTACCAAGACATTTTATTACACTAACACTGAAAACATATTAACAAACATATTAAACATAGAATAGCATAAACATATTAAGAAGTTGGCTGTTCATTATTATATATATAAAAAAAGTACAGCTCTTTTCATCAGTTAAAGGTATATAGGAGGATTTTCTACATATTCCGGGGAGACCATCAAGACTATTGGTCCTCCTAAGTGTCAATCATTCTCGTGATAGTGCTCGTCAAACAAGACCAAAGTTTTTTTTAAAGGTGGAAAGGGCGGTTCTTTCCTAAACTTTGGGAAAATCCTCGTATATACCTTTAAAGCTAAATGAGAGTGTTATTCTCTCCCCCCGGACACAAAGGCCAAGTCCCAGTGTTGGAGTGTTGCTGTTCAGATATTTTCTGTTTGGAGACTTTTCCAAAATAACTCCCTGAGGTGCTGTTTACCCTCTTAATGAGGGCTAAATGCCTCCTGTATCCTGTGTCATTCAAGGTCTGCTCAAGGACATGTTGTGTGCAGCGTGAGGCCCTGCACCTGTGTACTGATCACACTCTGAAAACACTTTGAATGCTTTTAATCTCATTTGTTAAGAGCAGTCGGGATAATATACAAAATCTTACACCTTTGAAGCAAAACATTTTAATCCAAACCACATTTTGCACATCTGCGTCAAATAAACTTCCACAGCAATAAAAAAGTTTTGCACTGAACACGTTTGAATTCTCCCAACAGCAGATTTTGTTTACCATGAGCGCAGAGCTTTGGTTTGGCATTGTTTTATATGTTCTTTTATCCCCATAACAAGAAGAAACCCGTGACCTGTCTTGTCTCCGTCAGCCTGTCAGTGCCATCCTCTGGGGGCGGTGGGTCGATGGTGCAACCAGACGTCGGGACAGTGTCTGTGTCGGGAGGGCGTGGCCGGCCTCAGGTGTAACCGATGTGCCCCTGGATACAAGCAGGGCAAGTCCCCCCTGCGGCCCTGTGTCCGTGAGTAAACACATTCCTTATGTTATGATCAATACGGATTAATAATGAGGCTCATACCATGTACAGTCTGTATGTTTGTTGTCACTGAACCATTAATGAAGTCACATGACATCACATAGTCTAGTTTACCAATGGATCATCAGTCCATGTCATAGAAATCTATCAGAGATCTAAAAGGCTTAGCCACAGATGTTTGTATTTGATCCAATAGTAATCTTGATTTTGATTGGGACCATAAATGTTCTATTGATTTAGTGGGATGGGAGGGTTTGCACAGTTTGACAATACAATGACAGATGATCAATAGCATATGTACAATACAGAAATATAACCCGTGCACTCGGAGGACATACCCCGTCAATACCATGGATTATCTCAACATTTAAATTGGGTCTTCCAGCCATCACATCCCATCTACACAAATCTCAATCCGTCCAGTAGTTATGATGCACAGGGACACACACACAGACTGAAACGCTTACAATACCCCCTTAAAGGTGGGGTATTAAAAGGGGACAATCCTCCACCGGCCCAGGGATAGAGCCATAACTCGTCAGTGACCAAAGCAAGTGAAAGAAAACCTTGTTTGTTTTTACAGCCAGGCCATTGCAGGCTAATTATAGCATCTTCACCCCCTTCACACCTCCAATCAAATCCATCAAAAAGAACCCGCTGATTGGCAAATCTAGTTAACAGCAAGGGATCTTAGTCCGTTCTCAGTATATATTTGGAATGAAGGATTAATTAAACCTTAAATTGTTAGTGATGGAACACATTTGTCGTTCATTTGTTTAACCTCTGAACTAAAAGTACCTACTCTATTCACATATCTAAGTCTTCATAGATGCCTCTTTTTGTAAAATAGTTTGAACTGATTCTGAAAGCACAAGTCAGTTTTGGGATGAAAACAATGCATTGTGGAATTATAATTTAATGGAGCCATTCTTTGACTGAAATAAACTGTAGATTTACATTAAAAGTGACTCCACTGCAGTTTCCTGTACTTTGAAGCGGGGCAGTCAGCTGGGGGCGAGTGTAGGGTGTCAGAGCCCGTTTTGTCAGTGTGGACAGCACCAGGGACAGCCCTGAGCTGTTATATATGACACGATGTCACACACACTTTTACAAGACGCCTGGATAATGTACGTTCAAACCGCCTTGTTAATCTTCCACATGAAAAAAAGAAACTTTACTAGCTTCTGTGTAATGTTGTAGATAAAACCCTCAGGATGTAATGCTTGGTCATATTAAAGAAGAGTAAAGTTTGGGTTGTGAGTCTCGCAGAGCCATAAAAGGGCCACACACTCAGTGAAGTTTTGACGATGTTCTACAGAGACATGCCACACGCTCCATGAAGCTCTGAGCAACGATACAAATAACAAAAGGAACAACCTGCTGCTGACACCTGTCCCACCGTCTGTTTGTGTGCAGGGATCCTCGAGGTCGCCCCGACACCCTTGTACCAGTCCCAGTACAGCATAGGTGAGAAAGACAATACATCAAATACATCCTTTCACGCACACAACAGGCTGAAAAAAATCTAATTTTAGTCTGAGAATAAATGCTTAAACACTCCACATTACTTTGTTTCCTTGACTTGTTTTGTGTTAGATACAGTGTTTTAAAATCCCACATGACGATCATTAACACTTTATTGAGTGGTTAGTGATGTAGCTGTGGCTAACCACTCCCTCCTAGTGGCAGTTACAGGAATGTCACACCTGCTGCACTTGGGGTCATGTGTTAGTCACAGGATACAGTGATGACAAATAGAAGCGACCATATTGTAATTAGGGGCAAAGACATGTGCTGATATGTCCACTATGAAACCACTGGCTTTCATTTACAGCGTTCTTTCTCTCTAATTGTGTGTCGCAGCTGAGGAGTGTGTGTCGTACTGCCAGCCCTCTCATCACAAAGTGCGAATGAATCTAGAGACCTATTGTTTCAAGGACTATGGTGGGTGTCAGATATTAATACACTTCTTTTTAAAGCCCTTTCTTGTATTGAAAGGACAAGCAGGGGTTTTATCAACAGTTATCATTCTAAAGAATGTGTTGTGTTTGTCGTCACAGTGCTTAAGGTGCATGTGAAGGGGATGGAGCGCTCTGGGCCCTGGTGGCAGTTCTCCATCTCAGTACAGACAGTGTTCCGTGCAGGATCCACCTCCAGCGTGCGCAGAGGAAGCCAGTCCCTGTGGGTTCCGGACCGGGACCTGAGCTGTGGCTGCCCTGCGCTCCACGTGGGCCGGACGTTCCTTATGATTGGGGCAGAGGAGGGGCAGAGGGACTGGGGGCCCGAGGAGAGGCGGCTGGTGGCAGACCGCTCCACGCTGGCTCTTCAGTGGAGAGAACACTGGAGCCCCAAACTCAGGGGCTTCAGGGGTCAGGACAAGAGGGGGCGCTGTCCTCCCAAAGCAGCCAGTGGTCAGCAGCAGATTGGGCACAAGACAGAATACATCCCCCCTCACCTCCTCAGAGACTCTCAGACACAGACTGAGACGGAGACCGTGGAGCCACAGACTGAGACCGAGACAGCCGCGCCCTCCGCCTTCAGCCTGCTCTGCTCCACACCAGCAGCTTTGTAGCACAAGACGCTCACATAATATATAAAAAAACATGTGATTTTTTTATATATTATGGCCACAAAAAAAATATTGAACTTAAATTTTAGAAATAAGTTAAAATGCAGAAATATTTTACAATACAATAAGTTATTATAATTATCAAGCAATTGTAACTGAAAAACGTCTGTCTGCTTAAGACCAGATATAATAACCGTTGTGCCAAACCATGTTTTGACTTTCTGAAGTTCCACCTCATGATATTTGTGAAAACTGACACTCCACAGACGTAATGGAGGCTGGTGTTCTGGGCGTGTGGGAATCCTCCGATACAAATCTAAAAAGCTCTCTGCAGGACTCTTGTTTCCTTGGCTGAAGTGGCGTCACTGCCCAGGGGAAACAGAGCTACACTCAAACAGATGGACGCTCCTGTTTGTGCAGCCGCCATGTTGTTTGGATACGAGCGTGGCCCCTGATTGGCCGAGAGGAAACCAGAGAGTGAAAATAAAGGAGCTGCTGATGGACGGGCCTCTGTGGGACCTCAGCATCTCTGTTTCTATCTACACAAGGCGACCTGTACAGAGAATTTATACTTCATATTTTTATGTTTACAATGTTTTTGTGATCTATTTATTTTTTAATAAAATATGCCTTATAAGTATTTGTTTTTTAACACAAGCAAACAAGGTCAAAGTCAAATTCAAAAGGGAACCACTACACCTAACAACAGGCTGCTCCGGGAAAACATAATATTCATATTATTGCGGACATCATTATCCCTCATTTTCATTTGAGCGACTCAATAGTTTGTGGTTTACCTTCACCACAATAATAGAATCATAGAGCTGAAGATTATGATATATTGGTTTATACCTGTATGGATTATTAAATTAGTATTATTATTCTATCATAATTGACGTTTTCTATGTAATAGAATAAAGTTAATGATTACATTATATGTTAATATCATATGAATATCATCCCCTTTACGACCTCCTCCGGTTCACTTCAGAGAGGAGGGCTCAGGGGCAGTTAGACAGGGCTGTATGAGGCACCTGCCACTGTCACAGGAAGCACCTGTCAGCAGCCGTCTCACACACACACACACACACACACAAACACACACGCACACACACTAACAGACAAGAGTCCGGGGGTATCGTCTGCAGAGGTAGCAGAGAAAAAACTGTCTTAGGTCTCAGTCTAGTCACATTCAATTTAAATTCATGTTCTTTTTTAACAAGAATATTTCAGATTTATTTTCAGATTTACTTTATATTGAACCAAACAGGTAAAACACACAAAATAAGGTTATTTTAAATCATTCCAATTTAATATGATCATATGTTGTAGAATAATGTATTATTCCATTGACATATGATTTAACTCAAGCCAAATTTCCCCCAGTGTTCCTTGCGGTATTTAAGTGAGTGGCACAATGTTTACAACCTGCAGGCGAATGCGAGGTGAACTCACAAGTTTAATAAGGACGTTTTTTCCAAACTACAACATTTTACTGAAGATCTCATTATTGAATCAGCTTTACAAGTTTAATTTCTCAAACAACACCTTCTAGATTCTTTGCTGAAGTCCAAGTTCAGCCTGTGTCCCCTGCACTCAGAGGGCTTCTGTTAACCTGAGTGCCGGGGGTCAATCCCTGTGATCCGGGGCCTGCGTGCCTTCCACACAGACAGGCCGCCGTCACCGCAACACGACTCCCACAAAGAGTACGGATAACCAAGCATGGCCACCACACGCACACGCACGCACACACACGCACACACACACATGCACACGAAGACGCACATACATAGAGTCAATTGTGTTGTGCTACTACTACACTACTTTTTTTAAAAGCATAAACAAATCACACAACAACATGCTGGATTTAACTTTAAAAACATGTCCTAATTTGCATATTATTTGCCATATTCTGCTCTTTTTAACTTTTCTGTTTGAAAAGGGCAACAAATTGGGTAAATGCATGTGAAAATCACTGAATCACTTAGATACCCCGACTTTAGCTGTGCTGTGAGTTGTAGAGAATCCAAAGAGGACCGTCCACCAGCGAAAGTAGCTTGGTGTGGCTTTGAAATATATCATTAATCAGGGAAGTTATTTTGCATAAATAGAGTACATGAGAGGAAATAGTGAAGTACTTGGAGGAGTAGAATTGATCAATGTCAGTATTTCTTTTTTAGTAATATTCAGCAGGATCAGAAAGATGAGTTTTGGCAAGCAGCTAAACTCGTGAGGCAGTGTAAACTTGGCAAACACATATGTAAGGCTATTATTTCCCAAAAGCAACAGGTGCCACCAGTCCTCCAGTCTGGTTCATTCTTGGGGCATGCGTGTTTGCAATGGGAATACCTTTATTTTCTTTGTAGTTGCTAAGCGGGACCTCAGTTTGACAGGCCCACATTTGAACCCTCCTGATTTACGGTAGAGGAGACCTAACCCTTTTTAACACTTGTCCTGGGCGTTACGGCATCCACGCAGCACCGTTTCTATTGGACTTATATTAGTGCCAGCCTTCGACTTTGGATTAATGACAAAAAGTGGAGGGGAGAGGTGAGCGGTAACCCTAACCCAGCGTACCCAGGTGCAATTGAAAAATGTCCCATATGTGGTGTGTGTGTTTGGGTTTCCATCGTGGCGCGTGACTTTATGGCATGAACATTTTGTGTTGAACTCCGGCTAGTTAGATCTGAACCAGAACTGATTGGATTTCAAGCTCTGGGAGTCGACCTTTGACTTTCATACAGCTGCTGCTCTGACATCTTCAAATCGCACTTCATCATTTTATCAAATTACAAAGTTCCCCTAAACTTCAGACACAAACACTGCCTTTATAATGAAGTTAGAATTGAAATGCATGTCAACTCCACATGTTGCATACGTTTGTGAACTCTTCTATATTATGTTAAATTTAATAGTTTAGATATCTTACATGTGCTGTAGTATTTTCCATCTATGACAGTGTTGGTGGTCTCACAGGTGGGTGGTCTCATCTTCAGCATCTGTGTCATGTGGCAGAGACATGCGCGGCTCCGGCAGAGCGCCGCACTGCAGGTAGCAGAAAACCACCTGGACCTACAGTTACAGACGGATTCAGTAATGTCACTATTTACTCATCCAATGCATACAAAGCTGGGTAACGTTTTTCTTCATAACTAATCCATATTGCTGGTCCAACAGAAACAGTCTTGTAAAAGTAAATAGTGCAAGAAAACATGTTTGGCATTCTTGTAAGAAAGAGCCCAATGAGTCAATATTTAAGGCTTTGGTAAAAAGCTGATTGGCTGAGTGAGGGTGGTTTCACTTTTCTGTCTAAAAAAACTGATCTATTGTATTGACAGAGGACAAAAACACTAGCATGTGAAAACTAGTGACCAAACTGTTTTAGAGACAGGAGTTAGATAGATTTTATAGAAAAAATCCGTAAATGCTCCAGTCAAGATGCTCCAGCTTTAAATGATGCAGATAAAATAGGCTTGTTTAAAGGATCTATTACAATTGATTAGTCAAATATGTCTATGTATCCCTCTCAAACTGACCTCACAGGGCTGCATGTAAAACAGCAACATTAAGCAGAAAAAAATATATATATATGGATCTTTTGTAAAATATCAGATCAAACAAAATCATCAGCTAATTTATCTTCTACTAAAATGGTCCCATTCCCACATCTTATAATATAAAAGTTAGTCAATATAAAACTGCATAAATCCTTACACGCTATATACACAGTCTTCTTGATTCTACTTCATTAAAAAGAACTGCGAACATTGTGGCTACATCCTTGATAGGCCATCTGGTTGATCACATGGGACTCACACAATTGAAGTAAGAGCCAATTTTTTTTTTTGGCATTTGTGATCAACATTTCTCAACCCATTCTTCACATAATCTAAAGAATCTCCCCCATGCCCGCTTTATAAACATCCTATGGAGCCATCGCTGATTAACACTGTCCAGTACTGACCTGCACAATCACATCCTGAGAGATGTCCCTCACCGTGCTGGCCACCGGGGGGCGTAAGAGGCTGGGCCCAAACACTGTGGCCAAGTTTAACAGAGACATCCTGTTGGTCTCTTGTCTTTCAGAAACTCTACAGGTCAGAATTCAAAAATGTTGGCTGTTAACTAGTATAGATAGTTAGTTTAAATAAATATATGACTGAAGTGTGGCTTTTACCGGCGAAGGTGATGCAGGAAGAAGAGAAGGGAGTTGCGGTGAGCTTCCGGACACGCCTGCAGCACAGACAGCAGAGCACAGCAGCGAGTGTGTGCGTCAGCTATGTCTGTGAAGACATATGAGCTTTAGGGTCAATACAATCAAACTAGAATCAATGGACAAAGACACATTCTCTAGAAAGTCTTTCAATTGCAGTATCATTATTACTCAGGTCAAATATAACTTGGCGAATAAACAAGTCAAATATCAGATCAATAGAACAAATTTGTCGTGATGCCAGGGAGGCACGGGGAACAACGTCAATAAAGTTATTCTTGGTTGTAAATTTGTCAATATTTTGGGTTTTTTATGTTTATTAGTATTAGATAGTATGCAGGATTATGAATAGTTTTTTTTTTTTAAGGAATTGGATGTGAAACTTTTGTTTGTCCAACCTGAAATTATAAAAGAGATGGAGGAAAACTAAAATCAATAGCAGAAATAAATAAAAGGAAAAAAATACAGAGTAAAATTTGTGTGAAACTAGGTTGCTAAAGATAGTGTCCTGGATTCAAGCGCTCACATACGCAGAAATGTTGCTATTTTGTCTCTATATTTAGTCCATATATTAAAAATTCATGCAAATACTTGATTCAAGCTTATGAGGAGTGAAACTGGAACACAAAGTGGTTGATAATAATCAAAGAGTGACTAGTATATTCCAATGGTCCAAACACTTGCAAACATGGCTCAATCATTGTTGAGCTCATAATCAGAATCTTTAATTGTTGTTTATAATTTTTACACACAAAAATAAAGGCAACATGTCCCTCTCTATTGCTGGTGGATGTCAAATTGGTCAAACGTATTAACAAATGTCCAAGAAACAAAAACATCTGGGACAAATCGTGTGGGAAACAGTGCTCACAATAATATAATAAGTTGGTTTCATGCTAAGTAATATTCTTGAGTTATTTTGCAGCATTTTCTGTTTTCATGCAACACAGACCCAGGCTTTAGCAGACTTCAAACACATGCCAGTAATAACCAGGATAAAGATCTGATCATTTTGCTGTCAACACAACCCTCCCCGTGCAACACAACATACAGTAGTTCTAATATAAATCTTACCGAGCGCCTGGACCGAGCTGTGAAAGCACTCCGCCGGGATGAGGGGCTCGGGCAACTCCCTGAAGAAAAGTTTGAGGACCCCAGAAACCGCGTTCACTTCTGCTCTCCTCAGACGAGTGACGGCTTCACCCAGACCTGAGAACAGCCACGAAAACACACGACACAAGGGATGTGATGAAAAGTGTTGAGAATGTAATTTACCTTAATTTTAATCATAGTAGTAATTAACTGAATTATGCCTGAAACAATAGAACCTGCTAATTCAATAAATAAATGTAACATATTATAATTTATATTTTTCTATATTTTTTCATAGTTTTTTTGCTTTTAGAGTCTGTTTTTATTTTTATTTTTTTACAGCACATTCGCTTGCACAGTATAGATTGCGTTCATAAATTTAAGTAATTAATTTTGTTCTGAGAGTTTGTATTCCAGTCTACTCTAAAATGTTTCAGCCCAAAAAGTTGTCCGCAATGTGCACAAAAACACTATTTTCAAACACAAATCTCAAACCAGTTACATCCACACATTTACTAATTCACTGATTCGCTCACTGGTGTCAAACGCCGTCTTCAGAGCGCTGATGTCGCTGGTGGAGCCTGAAATCCTGTAGATTCCAACTTCATCCATCCCTCGTCGTTCTATTTCCTCGATGCAGCAGCGAATCACGTGTGGGATCAGCACGCCCTCCTGTCTGAGGAAAACTTACTGATCAAAGATAGTTCACTAAGAAGTATCGATTTTAAATTTAATTATTTAATTTTGTACTTAAATTCATAAATCCAGCGTAACAAAACCTGCATCAACTTCAAACTTGTCAAAAATCAGGGTTGAACTAGAAACTCATTTGATGATATGTGTCGAAAATGTGATCTTTCTAAAGCATTTTCTCAAGTCGACTGTAGTTCTAGTATGAAACTTGTCACTATGTGTTATCATTTTATCATTTCTGAACGAGAAAATCTATCTCCAAAGAAACTGTTTCTGACATTGACACTTATCAACAAACAACAACACTGATAAAACAGGACTGTGGTGTTGAACTTGACATGGGAAATTCTAGTTTCAGAGGTATGTATTATGATAAGAATTCTTAACACAACCCTACATTTTCTCTTTTTTCTCAAGTCTAAATCTAACGTAAGGCACAACACATTCTGATAATACAAGATTTTTTTGCAAATGTATTTTGGAGTTAGTAGAGTATATTATTTCTAAGTGTTTTGAGGTAACATGAAGACACGATTTAAGAGGCTACATAACATATATTTTGTTGTTTTTGGTTTTATTTCAGATTTGTTTCATTGCACACACCAAAAGAACAGGTTTTGCTGAAATAACGTCTCTCTCTGAGTCCTAAAACCAGTCATTACAGATCTGGAATCATACTCTATTACCCATGACCCATCAGTATTTACATATGAGACTGATTTGAATGACCTGTCGTCCAGATGCAAATGTTGAGTAGTGACTGTGCATTTTGTCCAGTGGTTGAAATCGAACTGAAATGGTTTCGGTGGTAAATGACAGGAACTTACTGAGCAACTGTTTCTATGGCAACACCAAACACTGGCTGCTGCTGCGTGTAGGGGGGTCTGGGGGGCTCCGGCGGGTGACGCGTGTATCTCAGGGACAAGTTTACGTCGAGTTGCCCCAGATTCAGACCCTGTTTTCTCCATCGACTGCTGAGGGTTTCCGCGTCCAACTGATGATAGAAGACATGACATTTGAAGCTGCATTTTGAATATTTGCATACTATGGCTCTATAATGTGCTCCTCTTGGTGTTGGTCTATTGCATTCTTAATTATCCTCCCCATTGTCCTGAAACATGTGAACAACAGTAGGTGATATTCAAACATTACGTCTGTCCAGTATCTGTGTGTGTCCGTACCGTCAGGATAGTCCGGCCCAGCACAGTCCGGTCGCCTCTGTCCGTCTGTCCCACGCACGCCACCCTCAAGAGTGTCGCCCCGTCCACCTGGAAGTCCAGCTCCTGTTCAAAGGAAAGAGGAGACCGCGGTGACATCCATGTGCTGTTTCCATTGCAGCTACCAGTCGGATTTAGGGCAGATTGTATCACTGCCGGTCGTCTTTAAAGGATTTGCACTTTGGTAAACCGAGCAGAGATCAGATGTTGTCTAGACAATTTAGAGCTGTGTGCCAAAGTCTACAGACCACACAGTTAACTCCAACACATTTTGAATAGTTGATGCAGCTTCACACATTTTCTTCCCCCGGTGTCTCCTGTTTGTATTCCAATGTAGTTTTTTTTCCGCAAATGGCAAATAAATTGATTCTGATTCTGTAAAATACTGCAGGAGAATTAACAAAAGCACAGTGCATCACACAAACAAGAACAACAGCCACATGTGAGAAATGTGTGAAGAGAACATGACCGGGATATTCATATTTATAAGGGACGCAATTCATGTAGCATAAGAATTTTTATGGACCAAATCACGTAGAGTTTGAATAAAGAAAAAACAAGAACATTTCTGTGTGCAACACTATTGAGAAAGTAAAAACTAACTTTATACTTTCTTAAGAGGCTAAAGATGGATATAAGTTCAATGACTTTCCCTTTGGACATGGACATAAACTTATGTGACTTAGGTGTTGTGGTTATTTTGGCACCCCCTAAGCTGTGCAAATGAAATGTGTGCAAAGCATTGCTTTTGTTCCCATTATGAGGTTTCTGGGTATTTTTTGCAAGGAAATTGTTTGATTTGTCTTCATATAAACAGAAAGAAGAGCCGTATGAGTCACTATGATGCATGGGTAATCCATCTTAAAAGGCTGCTTCACAGTTTTGCTTGTGAATATTAAGTACAGCGGGGAAAATACTCATCCCCCAATTGTGCAAGTCCTCCTACTCAACTATGAGAGACAAAATGGGAAGACAAATCCGGAAAATACTGTATTTTTTTTGTTTTGTTTTTGCAAAATTATGGCGGAAAATAAGCATTAAGTAAATACTAATTACTTATTTTTTTCTCATAGTTTATGTATAGGTAGCTGTGATGGGGGAGACTTGCAAAACTGGTGGCTGACTACTTCCCTTTTCACTTTTCAGGTCACGTATCTTTGCTTCCATGAGTGTTTTTGGACGTCATACAATTATTTGACTCGTTTTTGAGTAGTTTTACCTGTTCCCACTGTGGATTCAAAGCATGAATTGAGTGAGTTTGAGCTTGTCTTTCATAGACGTTAAAGCCATCCACTTCCACCCAAACAGACATCCCTAAAATACAAAACAAATTATCACGTTTCAGCTCTAAATAACACACTAATAATGTGTCTCCATTGTGAGATAAATAAAGTTTATCTCATCTTAGTTTATTAGACCCAAACTTACAAGATGGTTTCAGGAAGCCAGTGGCAGAATGCACCACCACCGCCAAAGTCCCACATAACCCGTCTGTGTTCGCTGCAGACATTTAAGAGACAGAATTACAGACATAAGACTTGTGTGACCCAGTGGTGAAAACTAACTGTACAAAGATCAGGAGGAAAAGATTAGAGACAGGATGTGAGGGTGTCTGAGGAGAGGTACCACTACTACTACTGCTACTACTGCTGCTGCTGCTGCTGCTGCTGCTGCTGCTGCTGCTGCTGCTGAGAGGTGGCTGCTGGGTCATTCTCAGCTTCGCACAGGCACTGGTGAGGGTCAGCAGGTCAGGAGGGACTGTCTCTATGTCTGCAAATACCACAGACTGTATAAGAATGGGGACTTTCAAACCAGGAAGAAAAATTATGATATTTTTTAAGAAACTAAAATGTACATCCCAGATTTTTCACCAGTAAGAAACAGAGGTGTGGTGATTTGTGTTGAATTTTCAGGGCCAAAACAACACAGCTCTGTTTCCCTTTGCTGTCTCGGGTCTGCAGCGTATAAAAGCTATTTTTTGTCACAAGATACAGTAGACTTTATTCCTATATATGTTTATATGCAATGCATAGTAATCAAAAGTAGTTTTCCATGCAAATTTTGTAAGCCAGATTTAGACAAAGAGGCTAATTTAGACTAATAAACTATTGTCAAACATTTTAATCAATATGTTGTGCTGTTTAATCTAACTAAGGGTTATTTTGGCTGTGGATTTGAGCATGGATTTCTGAATGAATATTTATTTCGTTTGCCCTTGATCATACCACTAGTTCATGGTATTGTCTTTTGCTTACTTTCTTTGGTGAGTTTGAAAATGGCCTCCCTCCATTCTTCAATCTCATGCAATGACGACAACAAAGAACGGCTCTACAACAGAACAATGGAACAAATAAATTAGTTGAAAAAATAAACTCTATGAGTCATTTTATTAATTATCCATCCATCCATCCATTTTCTACCCTTTAATCCATTTCTGGGTCAGGGGGGTGGCAGTCAGAGATGCCACCCAAGTCTCATAGCACCAGCCCCTCACTGACCCTCTGCAGGTGGTGAGTCCACAGGAGGACGGCTGCTCTCTGAGTGTGAGCATAGCCTTGATCTTTCAGTGGGGGCTTTGGGCAAAGTGGGGTTAAGTGTCTTGCCCAAGGACACAACGACAGCAGTCATCAGTGGGAGTCGGTGGAGAAGGTGTAGAGGTGGAAATTGAACCCTGAAGGCCAATGCTCTACTAACTGAGCTACTGTCGCCCCTTTTTTTTACAACAGTCAACAGTTACAAAATGTAACTGTTGACTTGTTGACTTGTTGACTGTTGACCAAAGCTTTGAAAAAATAACAAAAACATTCACATTACAAAAAAATTACTTTTAGCCTCCAGAACTCTTTTACCTCATCTATTTTGACCTTAAACGTGCATCTAAAGCCGCTAAACCTAGATGGTCAAAATACCACCATGTTGGCTCTGTCTGCTCTTCACATAAACCAAAGATGATGAAAGCTCAGTCCAAACTTGTTCCTATGGCCGAGGAGATACATACATTGGCCGCATCACTATATAGGCCATGGAGTTTAATGAATATGAAAAAGTAGGTGCCTATAATCCGGCAATCACTGTAAATAGTGGGATAAAAAAAAAACACACAACCTAGTCGGTATCATTGTCATTATTAAATATTGGTCACCTTTCCATTGGGACTTCGCAGTTCCAGACTGTGCACTGGTGCGAGCGTGTATAACAGTAGCTCCATTTGCTCGAGTTTCTTCCAGCTGCGTGCGCTCGATCCCTTCTACAACAAACAAACATAACCCAATTTTATTTCAATCAAATATGTTTGTTTTTGGATATTCAAAAAGGCTGTCATGAGTGATATGAAGGAGAACCAAAAATGCAGGAATGCAAAACAATATGGATTTAATGATGATAATATTAAGAAATTAAAGGAGGAATATGTACAAATCTGGCCAAAAGTGGTACTGCAACCTCTCCCACTCTGAACTACAGTTATCAGTTACAGAAGTATTCGAAAAGAGCATGGTTTATTAATGCCTTTTGACATATTAGGGCCATTCAATGATGACTTGACCTGAAAATCTTACATATTGCTACTTTAAAATCCATGGAAAACAGAAACTCTAAAAATCTAAATGAAACAGGGGAACCAGGAAAACAACAGACGACGACAAACTAAAACAATAAACCAGCAACAATTGGGAATGAGCACAGGTGCAAATAGCCACAGAGAGACACATGAGTAGGGCAGACAATCAACACAGGGTAACAGGCCAGGAAACAAAAGCAGAGTTATGAGGTCAAAATTAAACCAAGTCAAAATGACACCATGACTTAGACGCTCATACCATGTGATGCCGAAGCTGTTTTTGGAGTTGATACATTTTGGTCCGGATGGTGTCCAAGCGAAGTTGCATCTCAGGAGATCGTTGGTCTGAGAAGCAGCGCAACTTGAGACCGGCGATCGGGAGATACCAGCTGAATCTGTACTGGTCCTGCTTTCTGAATACACAAATATATATCAAACTTGTTAGGCATAAACTTTACAACGTGTAGACCAGCCATTCCCAAACTCAGTAACACCGAGGCCCCCTTAAAAATCTGACGGGTCTGCGTGGCCCCCCAAAATAATAACCAAGAAGACAGCATTAAGAATAGGCTCTTTTGGTTATTTTATTTTGGGGAAATAGCCTCTGCTACAAACATTGTAATACAAAAATGATTACAGTGGCTTATTCAAGTCAAATAATGAACACAAATATTTTAATATTACAAACAAAACATTATACATTTAACATTAAATAATTGTATATATATATTTTTTTTTTTATGACCTCCCGCGGCCCCCCTGCAGTACCCTCGCCGGACCCCACTTTGGGAGACACTGGTGTAGACAATAGGAGTCAAACTAAAAACTTTTAAACTTCCCCACGGAGGATTTATATTAAAAGCCGGTTGAGCAGTGTAGTTACCCTCTGACTGTAGGTTTGAGTCGGGTGCACAGCAGGAGGTCAGTGTAGAGGAACAGGTGACGCATACATCGCTCGCCGTCACTGTCATCCACCACGAAGCCGTCGCGGATCAGCTGCCGTCTCTACAGTTAAAACATATTTTTCGTGAACATCTGTGAAAGCAAAACTCCACATATGATGTTTACCTAAGGCTGGGGTAGGCCGACCCATCTCTCAAACCAAATATAATACAATGTAGTTAGCGCTCAATTCTCAAACATGAGATTCTGCATCTCAAGGGGCGTTCTTCAAATAAATGAAATCTAAATCAAATTTTACAAATGTGCCTGTCACATTTTTAGATCAGCTTTTTAAGTAGGAAAGGTGAAAGAAAGGATAATGTACTCTCAGCCCAAAGAATAAAAATTTGATAACTTTCTTACACTAATGCCTTTGGTGTTAATTTGTTTAGATGTTGATGATAATACTAAAAATAATGCATTTGATCCCCTCCCCCTCCAGGAATGGACTAATGAATGTAGTAATAAATGGACTAATAATTGGGATTCAAATGAATGAATGAATAAATAATACTACATTAACTTTGTACAGTGCTTTTCATGACACTAAAAAAGGCGTCCTGACGAAAGAACTGGAGTCACCTTTTCGTGAGTGAGCGTCACGCCTCGCCTGCTCTGGGAACTCTCATTGACGCCCGACAGGAAGCTGCGCGACAGTCTCAGCGCTTCTTGAAGAGAAGCGTGGTCCTGGTGCTCCTCAGGTGTGGTTTTTAAAAGATCCTATAAGCACAAAGACACAGAGTAGAGCAAAAGGCGTAAAGATATGTTTTTTTAATGCCATATTATCATAATGACGTGGATTGCCTCACATGCAGCACCAGAGTGGTCTTGGTGATTCTGTCCAGTGGTTTGTACAATAGAGCTGTAGATGAAATCACTGTTAGGACTTGCATGGAAAGCACTATCCTCTCCTCCTTTCTACTTTTATCTGGCATCAGTATGACTTCGGCTGTAGACTCTTCATTGCTATTCACCCACTGTCCCATTGTCTGTTTCATGGCGTGATGATGGTACACCTGAATCCATGTTCATTGTCTGGATCTAACTAAAAGGACAGTGGTGATGATCCAGGACACTCAACATTCAACAACATTTATGGACATTTATCAACATTTGTGGACATTGGTCATCTGCCCCTTACGGCTTTAAGTGTATTTTGTTTTTATCGTTGCGTTTATTGTGTTTGAATTGTTTGATTCTCTGATCTGTGTTGGCGAATTCAAAGTTCCTTCAAGATACCTACTGTTGTGGTTTAGGGCTATACAAGAATACATTGAATTGAATGGAATGGCTTGGACTGACAGAGCAAAGAAATTACCTTCCAAAGTGTATTTGGTGCGTGATTTTTGAGAAAAACTGTTATTAGACATCATGCTCTAGAAAAGGACGAATGCAAAAGGTTAATAAAAGCATGTTAATGAATAATTTTAGGGAAATGAGAAGTACCTCTGCCAGCGTGCGGAAGCGTGGGTCGGCTTGTGTGCACCTTCGAACCACGTTAACAGCATCCACGTAGTTGTCGATGTAACCTCCATACACACCGACCTGATTCAGCTAAAACAGAAGTAAACAACAAGTATCGGTAATACAGAAAAAGCATACTAATCTCAAGCGCAATCGATGGGAATATAATAAACCATGTTAAAAACAAAGGGGACTTTTAACAGCACAAAAACCCTATGGAACAGAGACCAATGACTGAAGCCTTTGTGAGGCCGAGGACCCATAGCTTTGGCCTCTTATGACTGCTGTAGGTTGAACAATCTCAGGACATCAAAAAATCAAAGTCACATTTTTATATAAAGTTAATATAAAGGTATATGTAGATGCTGTCCAGGGGTCTAATATATACAGTATTAGTACAACAAACTGTTTAAAATTCTCCATTCACAGCAGAGAAACACAGCAAAGTGCAGAGAAATACACACAATTTGCTTTTAAGTAAGTAAGTAAGCTTTATTTATATACCGCCTTTCACAGACCAGAGTCACAAAGCGGTTTACAATTGTTATTTTTTGGGCACTTGTCTCTCACTCCACAAAGAGATGGGAGCGGGGTCGCCAGTACAGGAGGCGCATGCCAGACCTATTGCACATGTTTTTAGTGGTAGGGGAAACCGGAGAACCCGGAGGAAACCTACGCAGACATGGGGAAAACATGCAAACTCCACTCAGAAAGGCCCTGGTCTGGCCGGGATTCGAACCCAGGACCTTCTTGCTGAGAGGCGAGAGTGCTATCCACTCAGCCACCGTGCCGCCAAGGGCTATTGCCAAAGCAGAGTTTATGGACTTAATATTGTGACTTAAGCTTAATGTTTACTGTCAAAATATTATATTTGCCAAAGTCAAAAGTGCATCAAAACACGTTGTCGGTAGAGTTAGGATCTATCTGCTTTGTTTTGCTACATCTGCAGTTGGTTCAGTGTTACACTATAGCAGGAGAATCTGCAGCTTATATTCATGTGCAGCCTATATGTATGTGGAAACAAAACCTTTTATTTTGAAATTAAGCTGCTTGGGTTTGTATACAGCGCTTAATAGTCAAGCATTCTGTATACTGTCATTTCCATATAAAGATTCAGTTCTAAGTCCACATTTCAAACATTAGTTGACTTGACAAATAATTATTAACAAAATATTTATTAGGGGTTTTTAGTAATGTTTTTTTTTAAACATGGAGAAAATGTTCCTGTAATAACAAGGTTGAGCCTACTGCCTGAAACTGTAAGAGATAGAGGACTACAAAAATCCATAACAGAAATAAATAAAAGGAAAAGACTGTAAGAATAATGTAGTGAAATGGTCAAGCTAGCTCACTAAACCTTTGTATTACAGATGTGCATATGTAGATATGTGTATGTTTATTCTTTTTTCATTTTTTATTCAAATAATGTTTTATCATCCCGCGATGTTCTTTCTGTGCCTGTTAAGCACCCTGAGTTGCTTCTGCATAAATGCTGTTTTATAAATATATTTCCCTTTGTCTGTAAAGAAAGTGTCCTGGATTCAGAAGCTTATGTTGCAATTCTGCAACTATGGCACCTAAAGAGTTAGTATTCTGATGTTCAGGGTCTGTTATGAATACAATTATAATTACAGTTTTATTAATATAGATAATAAATATAAGTGTGTAATATATATAATACATTAGAGTTAATTACAAAGATGATTCTTTTGACGAGGCACAAACTGTTTCCTAATCGTCTCTAATGCACCACATCCTCACTGATCAGATCTTTACCAGTTTGAGAAAGAGGTCGCCTACAGTCAGCGCAGGGCTCTGTGTTTCTCGTGCTTTGCAGCAGTTATTTTCCTCTGGTTCGTGTTCAAGATCAGATTGTGTCTTGAGCAGTGTCTTCAGACCGCAGTAGAAGCTGTGGTGCAGGTCACGGAGCTCAGGGACCTGATAGAAGACCGTGAGGACCTGCGGAGCGGACAGGACCGGCTGGGACGTCCCGGCTGAGGCACGGAGAGCCTTCATGGGCTGTGGACACCAGGGGAAATGTAAATCAGTTATAATCAAATAACAATAATAAACATGAGCGTGACAGAGAAGACTGTGCTGATGTGGAGATAGTGGAGACCGTGGTGTTGGGACATTAGATAAAACAGCTGGGTTATGGTTTTGTGTAAATTCAAGTCCTTCTTCTTTGAAATAACTTTTCTGACTTTTCTTTAGACTGGGTCGAATACAGAAGACTTATATGACAATATAAGTATATTCAATATCACCAATTATTATGTGGATAGTTTAGTTTCATTATCACCAAGCAGTGTCTGCCCCTGGCTCTCGGCCAATGGCTGTTGTTGGCGTAACAGAATTTAGCTCATCCATCAGTAAAACCCAAACCCTAACCCACGTCTGGCTACATTGGTTAGAATGGGGTTTTGTGTGTGAATGCAAGTTGACAAAAAGAAAGTGAGTTTCAGATTGAACGATAATAAACTGACCAAAAAAGCAGTGTTGCTCAATGCGTTTTAAGAGAAAACCAAAACAAAACCTCTCTCGTCATAAACCTCATATTTTGAAACAGCTCTGATTCATTTTCACATAAAAGCATGTTTAAGAGGAACTGAGACTATGTAATATTCCTCACACATTACATTACACACTACTGCTACTATTAGGATATTTTACCTGTTAAGAGGGTATGCACAATTTTTGAATACCAAAAGGAGAAACAAACAATATGAGGAAGCAGGACTTGTGCAGCCACATCTGGACACCATAAAGAAGCAGTATCAAAAGCTTGCAGAAAGTAAACGCACCATTAGAAGAGTCTCCAGCTCATTTAGATACACCTCCTCACTCTCCAAGATGCCTTTAAGGACCACTAGTCTTCTGGCCAACATGTCCTTTTCGCTGCACAACGTCTGAAAGGAAGAAAAATACAAATTAAATCCTGTTATTTTGTTTGACAATACATAGTTGTTACTCACTGGAGTGTCCGGGAAGTCCATGTGTGTGTGAAGAGGCGAATGCATGGGAGCAGCTTCTTCATGGAACACATCCTCATCTAAAACATCTGCCTCCCCAGTAGCTAAGGAACACATGTATTTCATTAGTTATAACACAATTGACTAGAAAGTAATATGTACAACTAAAGTCTTGGTATTTCGTCCCAGGCTGAGGTAAGTATTAAAATGTTGTTGCAATTTCTTTCTTCAAATTTGTATTCAAAAGTCACAATCTTGTTCGGGTTAGGGTAATGGTTAAGTTTAAGGACAAGGTTAGGGATAGTGACGGCTAATTTGGTTCAGGCAAGGGTTGGGCTTGCAGCGGGACGAAATACCAAGATTTAAGGGAGTCCCATAATAAACACCATAACATTCACACGAGCGCCGCCATTTGATAAAATTGTTTTTAAAATATATTTAAATTAAATAAATTGTACTTTCACTTACTAGACACGTGTTGAGTGTGCAGATAGTCTACGGCCTCCTGAAACACATCCATCATTGACCAAAGCAGAGGGGAACTAACGAAACTTCCTCTTTTTTACTTCAAAACACCACAATGACTGTTGCTTCCTGTCGAATCGGCCTAAACAAGGAGCGATTAAAAAAAACAACCCCGAGATAATAATTTATTTAAATGGAGGCAAAAAAGGATGTTCTGCATTAAGCTTTAGTGACATCTAGCGTCAAATTAAACTATAAACGTAATATTTTTTATATATCATTATTTATCTTTTTATCGCATTTAATCGAAATCATGATAGATCCATGCATTTAATTCTCTTTGGATGTGTAAGTACGTTCATCACATCTGAGGCATTGGCTGCATTCAAATTCATAAAAATACACCTTCTAAATACATTCTTGTCTATAAACTTTTACCTTTTTGGAATCGCATTTGACCCAAATAGAAAAAAATAAAACGTCTCGTATTTACCCGTCGTGTGAAATGTCAACTTTCAAGAACAAGGACGGGTAGAGAAGTAATTATTTTTAGAATTTGGATTCAGACGGCAACTGCTTTACGATGCGCTAGTGACATCTAGCGGAAAAAGTACTGCATCGATAATACAACAAAACCTTGCTGGGGTTAAGAGGATTATATATACTTTGTACTTCCGGGTGGATAATCAAGACTATTGGTCCTCCTAATTGTCAATCATTCTGGTGATATGTGCTTGTCAAATAAGACCTGAGAGGGTTGTTCAAAAAATGGAGAGGGTGGTTCTTTTCTAAAAAAATTTGAAAATCCTCCTTGTATTACAGATGTGTTTGTTTATTCTTTTTTCATTTTTTATTCAAATAATGTTTTATCATCCCGCAATGTTCTTTCTGTGCCTGTTAAGCACCCTGAGTTGCTTCTGCATGAATGCTGTTTTATAAATATATTTCCCTTTGTCTGTAAAGAAAGTGTCCTGGATTCAGAAGCTTATGTTACAATTCTGCAACTATGGCACCTAAAGAGTTAGTATTCTGATGTTCAGGGTCTGTTATGAATACAATTATAATTACAGTTTTATTAATATAGATAATAAATATAAGTGTGTAATATATATATAATACATTAGAGTTAATTACAAAGATGATTCTTTTGACGAGGCACAAACTGTTTCCTAATCGTCTCTAATGCACCACATCCTCACTGATCAGATCTTTACCAGTTTGAGAGAAAGAGGTCGCCTACAGTCAGCGCAGGGCTCTGTGTTTCTCGTGCTTTGCAGCAGTTATTTTCCTCTGGTTCGTTAATAATGATGATCTGACGAAGGCTAAGGCCGAAACGTTAATAAATACTAGATCTTTTGGACATCTATCCGAGTGTGCTGTGTATTTTCCACATTTAATCCCATAGCAAGTTAAAACACAATCAAGTAAAAGATTTTGGGATTTTTTTTATGCATTTCCAAGTTTTTATCAAATTGGTCAATTGATTGTTCACTAAAATAATAACAAAAAACTATAACTATAAAGTAACTACATCAAGTTGGCTAATATTTACAAACAACAAAATTGTTTGCTGTAACTTTTCTTTGCCAAAATATTCTAATACAAGTCAAACGTTACAAATTTGAGAGACAAAATTGCCCGTTGTGGACTTTCTTATAGATCCATGGGAGAAACAGCTCGGGGTCCCACGCACGGCGCATTGGGAATAATCATTGAGTTGACATGCTTCATTAAAGGCAAATGTTTGTCATACTCTGTGCGATTACTTTGGCAGCGCGAACACTGGGCTCTAATTGGTTTAATTCCGCTAAACTAATTGCACTTGTTGCGCACTAATTGGCTGCGGTCAATTACCTTCTTGTGGCCGCAGAGAAAGGATAATATTGACAAAGGTGGTCATCAGCCTCTTTAACCATGGGCTTCACAGACTGCGCCCGCTTTTATGTCTGAACAAGTGGACCATGCTCAAATATACGTTTATATTTATGTTTATCTTATTTCCAGCCATGTCTTTCTTGCAAAAAAGTAAAACAAAGAAAGACAGAAAAACAATTATAGGTCTATTGTGAGTTGACAACGTAAAAATAAGGCTGTATCTCATAAACAAAAAGAATAGCGATAATAACACATTTTAAATTACATCATGGCAGAATTTAGCTTAAGTATATCTGCTGATGCTTGTAAAACCGGCTTGGTCAAAAAGTAAATTTAAAGTAGTCTAACATACAATAGTAACTAATATTTAACAAAAGTTGCATATTTGAAAGTTATTTAATTCTGTCATTTTTTTTATTTAGATAGATAGATCCCACGTTTGAGAAATTGAGGTGTCCAGCAGATTCAGCCATTAAAAAAAGTATAAATTCTAAAAGTTTCTAACTACTTGTGGGGGAGAAACCTTGAAGGCTATAGTTGTCCACGTTAACGATTTCGTGCGTATCCCGTGCCATTCCTTAAATCCACAATTACGCGCGCGTTCCTTGTGCCACTTGCACTTTACTCCACTCACCAGATTAAAAGCCACCTCCCACCCCCCCCAGGCCACAATAACGCCATTTGCGACATTTCTCCACGTGCGTCAAGGACTCACCATGTGCATCTATGCGACTCCCCTGCTTCGTCTTCAGCCTCCGGTGTGGTCCGTATATACGCGCGCAACAAGTGTCCAGCTCCAGACTGGAGAGAGGAGGACGCAGAGAGACACAGGAGGAGGACGCAGAGAGACAGGAGGAGGACGCAGAGAGAGTGAGAGAGGAGGCAAAGAGACAGGAGGAAAACGCAGGAGGAGGACGCAGATAGACAGGAGGACGCAGAGAGACAGGAGGACGCAGAAAGTTAGGAGTAGGATGCAGAGAGAGAGGAGTAGGACGCAGAAAGTTTGGAGTGGAACGCAAAGAGACAGGAGGAGGGCGCAGGGAATGATAGGAGTAGGACGCAGAGAGTGTGGAGTAGGACGCAGAGAGAGGAGTAGGACGCAGAAAGTTTCGAGTAGGACGCAGGGCGATAGGAGTAGAACGCAAGATTAGAGTATAGGACGCAGAGAGACAGGAGCGCAGAGAGTTTGGAGTAGGACGCAAAGAGACAGGAGGAGGGCGCAGAGAGATAGAAGTAGGACGCAGAGAGATAGAAGTAGAACGCAGAGAGACAGGAGGAGGGCGCAGAGAGATATAAGTAGGACGCAGAGTTTGGAGTAGGACGCAGAGAGACAGGAGTAGGACGCAAAGAGACAGGCAGACGTATAAAGACAGGCAGACATACGCGTGAGTGATGGGAAGTGGCGCGTCTTCTTATAGCGACTCGACCCAAGTGCTCCCACCTCAGCGCGCACCTCTGCCAGCGTGATTCATGTCCAGCTTTTAAACGAGAGCTTGATAAATAGGCTTTACGTGCTCGGTTTTCACACACGTTCAAAAGGCGCAGCTCAGACGGCAGCGCGCGCAACGGTGCAGTATATTATTGATATTATATGTGACACGTTTATGTCAAACCTGTTAGGAGGTTTTAAATGTGTCTCTGGTGCAAGGGGAATACACCACCGCTGACGTGTATTTGGCTCGGTATCAATGCATAACTTCCAAGCTGTGAAGTGACTCTTTCAGAATGGTGCTTGTTCTTTTGGTGACATTATAAAAGCCTATTTAAATGATTACATGTTGATATTTGGATGTGACAGAGGCACAAAAACAAATGCATGTGAAAATGATAGTGTCAAAAGCAAACTGTTTTCAGATCAAGAATCTAAAATGGATTTTTTTGCATAGTTTTGTGTTTTGAAAAATAGGTACCCCAGCTTTATTTGTTGTGTTCAAAATGTCACTTGTGATGAGGATGAAAGATTGAGCGTTTGACAATAACATAAGGCATTTCAGTGTGCCTCTGCATAAAGTTACTTTTTAGTCCTAAAATAGGCTCATAGATAATTGCATTTTTTTCTTCTTGTTCACACAGCAAGGGAAAAAAGTAGTAGTAGTAGGTCTATTTAAATGGAAAGGCAGTCATTAGTCTGGCCCCAAGGTGAAAATAATTGCACAAACCGTGCATTTAATGTAAACAGAAAGTTACAGGCTGTTGCTTTAAATATGATACCTCCCTCTGGTGGTAGTAGAGGGACAGAGCAGGCCAGTATTTGTATTTATTTGTTTATTTATATGGGACAGTGTAGCTAATTTGCATCTGTACTTCCACATTCACATTCACAAACACACACTCATTAAACCCTCACCTGTAGAGAAACTGGAGGAAACCTACGCAGACACGGGGAGAACATGCAAACTCCACACAAACTCTATTGTTTGCCCTTGTTACCTGTATCCCTGTATATTTTCTACTAACAATATTATTAGAACTCTCATTATCCTCTTTAATGGTCAAAAATAATGCATAATATTTCTTCTTTAACTCAAACTTCTCACGCATCATTGTGTTTGTCTCAACATTCTTTTGGAAGTAGCAGCCAAACTATGTCAATATTAGCATAATTGAGAAAAGCCCAGCGCATGTAGATATTAGCATAATTGAGAAAACCTTTTCCAGGCATGTCTTTGTACACTCTGCTCGCAGCTGAACTCATCTTTTCACGGACACTAAAACACGTTCACACCACGGCACGGATCCTCGTCCACTTTATTACCACTGGCGGGCAAATTGAGGGCACTTGGAGGAGTCTTATCTTGTATCGTCCAGATCTCAACCCCTAAAACCTTCTCCAATTATCCCTGTGCACAATGGCAAAAAATGGCTGAAGCTCAATTGGTCGGAGGTGGATCGTTCTCAGATGTGAAGCAAAACTGATGCAGATGGAAGAAACGTATAGAAGCGAAGGAAGAGAGAGGGGAGGCGGTGCAGGGCCTTGATTGGAGCGGAGAAAAGCTTCCCAGAGAAAGCCATAAAACTGATTGATGACTTCCCCCGAGGAATGTTTCCCCAGGTGTGCGTCAAACGTGTGTGTGTGAAAATTTGTGCTAAGTAGTTACAGTGCTGCTTAGATATGCTGTCGTTGGACCGGTGACAAGAAGGCGAGAGGATGTATAGATTTGTTGTAGAGCACGACCCACCTTC